GCAAGTCCAAAAAAATTCAAATAACCTGAAATCATACCAAACATATATGGCGACCACAGTAGAAGAAAAACTGAAGTGAATAGCAAGATGATCTCTCAAAATCACATAATTACAATGGCACCAAACAACTTACACCTGAATAACTTTTGGGTAAACAATGAAGTTAGGCAGAAATTTTAAAATTGCTTAAAATAAATGAAAAGGGATACAATATATACCAAAATCTCTGGGATGCAGCAAAATAGTGGTAAGAGAAAAGTTTGTATCACTAAAGGTCTACATCAAGAAGTTAGAAAGATCTTAAATTAATACTCTAACAAAGCACCTAAAGGAAAAACAAAAATAAATGAACTCCAGAACTAGAAGAAGAAATAACTAAAATCAGAGCGGAATTGAACAAAACTGAGACAAAAAAAAAAACCTATTCAAAGGATCAACAAAACCAAAGGTCATCACTTTGAAAGGATAAACAGGACTGATAAGACTGTTAGTTACTATCAAAAAAAAAAAAAGAAGATCCAAATAAGCACAAGAAAAATGACAAAGTTGATATTACAACTAATCCCACAGAAACACAAAATATCTTCAAAGACTATAATGAACAGTTTTATGCACACAAACTAGAAAATCTAGAGAAAATTGATAAATTCCTGGAAACACACTACCTCCCAAGATTGAACCAGGAAGAAATTGAGACCCTGATCAGAGAAATAATAAACTCTGAAACAGTAATAAGAAACCTACCAACTAAAAGAAGTCCTGGACTAGATATATTCACAGCTGTATTCTACCAGACATACAAAGAAGAGCTGGTGTCAATCTTACTGAAACTATTCTAAAATATCAGGGAGGATGGACTCTTCATTCTAGGAAGCCAGCATTATCTTGATACCAAAATCTGAGAAAGATACAATGAAAAAGGAAAACTGTAGGCCAATATCCCTAATGAACATGAGGCAAATATACTCAATAAACTACTACCAAACTAAATCCAGCAGCACCTCTAAAAGTTAATTAACTATGACCAAGTAGGCTTTATTCCTAGGATGCAAAGATAGCTCAAAATAAGCAAATCAATAAATGAGATTCACCATATAAACAGAATCAAAAACAAAAACTATATGATCATATCAATAGACATGGAAAAGGCTTTCAATAAAATCGAACATCCCTTAATGATTTAAAAAAAAAAACCTCAAAGAACTAGGCATTGAGGGAATGTAACTTAAAATAATGAGAGCCATCTGTGACAAGCCCACAGTCAACATCATACTGAACAGGCAAAAGCTGCAAACATTCCCCTTGAGGAGTGGAACAAGATAAGGATACCTACTCTGGCCACTCCTATTCAACATATTACTGGAAGTCGTAGCCAGAGTAATAAGGAAAAAGAAAGAAATAAAAAGCATCAAAATAGGTAAAGAAGAAGTCATATTGTCTCTTCTGATCATATAATTACAAACCTAGAAAACCTTGATGACCACCAACAGACTCCTAGAACTGAAGAACAACTTCAGTAAAGTTTCAGGATATAAAATCAATGTATAAAAATAAATTGTAATTCTGTACACCAATAATGGTCAAGCTGAGAGTCAACTCAAAAACAATCCCATTTACAATAGCCACACATGCACAAAATACCTGGGAATACATCTAAGCAATTAGGTAAAAGATCTCTACAAGCAGAACTACAAAACACTGCTGAAAGAAATCAAAAATTACACAAATGAAAAAAATTCCATACTCATGCATTGTAAGTCAATGCTGTGAAAATGTCCATACTGCCCAAAGCAACCTACAGAGCAAATTACATGACTGAATGCTATCCCTATTAAAATATCAACATCATTTTCAGACTTAGAAAAAAGGTCTTAAAATTCATATGGAACCAAAATAGCCAAAGCAATCCTAATAAAAAATAACAAAGCTGGAGGCATCATATTACCCAACTTTATACTACAAGGAAGGCTACAGTAACCAAAACAGAGTGGTACTATTTAACAAATAGAAACAAAGTCCAATGGAACAGAACAGAGAACCTAGAAATAAGGCTGCACACCTACATCTCTCTTATCTTTGACAAAGTTGACAAAACTAAGCAATGAAGAAAGGACTCTCTATTCAATAAGTGGTGCTGGGATAGCTGGGTAGCCATATGCAGAAGAATGTAGCATATGGAAAACAATTTATGACTAAGTCTTCAAAAGCAATTGCAACAAAAACAAAAAGTGACAAGTGGGACTTAATTAAACTAAAGAGTTTCTACACAGCAAAAGAAACTATCAACAGAGTAAAAAGATAACCTACAGAATGGGAGAAAATACAAACTATGCATCCAACAAATGTCTAATATCCAGAACCTATAAAGAATTTAAATCCACAAGAGAAAACAACCCCAGTAAGAAATGGGCAAAGGACATGAAGAGATACTTAAAAGAAGACATACAAGCAGCCAACAAATGTGAAAAAATGCTCAACACAGTAATCATCAGACAAATGCAAATCAAAACCATTCTGATACCAGTCAGAATGGCTATTATTAAAAACTCAGAAAACAATAGATGCTGATGAGGCTATGGAGAAAAGGGAATGTGTACACTCTGTTGAGAATGAATTAGTTCAGCCACTGTGGCAAGCAGTTTGGAGATTTCTCAAATAACTTCGAACTACCATTCAACCCAGCAATACCACTACTAGGTATATATCCAAAAGAAAATAAATTGTTCTGCCAAAAAGACATATGCACTCCTATGTTCATCACAGCACTACTGACAATAGCAAAGTCATGGAATCAACTGAAGAGCCCATTAACAGTGGATTGGATAAAGAAATGTGGCACATTTATACCATGGACTACTATGCATCCACAAAAAAGAATGAAATCACATACTTTGCAGCAACATGGATGCTAAGTGAATCCATGTTGGCCATTATCCTAAGTGAATCAATGCAGAAACAGAAAACCAAGTACCTAATGTTCTCACTTATAACTGGTAGTTAAATATTTAGTACACATGGCCATAAAGATGGCATTATTAGATACAGGGGACTACTAGAAGGGAGAGGAAGGGTGGAGGATAAAGTTGAAAAACTATCTATTGGGTACTATGCTCACTACCTGGGTAACAGGATCAATCATACCCCAAATCTCAGCATCATGTAACACACCCATGTAACAAACCTGCAAATATACTTCCTGAATCAAAAATAAAATTTGAAAATTTTTAAGTATCTCCTTATAAATTATGTTTATTAATTTATAAGGAACAGAAGGAAGAGAAGTAACTAGAGAAGAGAAAAACATCTTAATGAAATGATTAAAATTAATATCATTAATAAAGGGACTACTTATGTTGTAATCCAGCCAATAATGGATAAGTGTGGTGCCCACTACCACACCCAGCTAATTTTTGTTGTTGTTGTTTTTTTTGTAAAGATGGGGTTTCACTGTGTTGGCCAGGCTGGTCTTGAACTCCTGACCTCGTGATCCGTCAGCCTTGGCCTCCCAAAGTGCTGTGATTACAAGTGTGAGCCACTGCACCAGGCCATCTATGTTCTTAAGAAAGACACTGACTGAAGGCCGGGCAAGGTGGCTCATGCCTGCAATCCCAGCACTTTGGGAGGCCAAGGGAGGTGGATCACCTGAGGTCGGGAGTTCAAGACCAGCCTGACCAACCAGGAGAAACTCCATCTCTACTGAAAACAGAAAATTAGCTGGGCATGGTGGTGTATGCCTGTAATCCCAGCTATTTGGGAGGCTGAGGCAGGAGAATCACTTGAACCCAGGAAGCAGGGTTGCAGTGATCCAAGATCACATTATTGCACTCCAGCCTGGACGACAAGAGCAAAACTTTGTCTCAAAAAAAAAAAAAAAGGATAAAGAAAGACACTGAAGCAGTAAGGAATGAAGGACCATGATGTATGCAACCTCTCAAGTGGTTAAAAAATGTATGTGTGTATACGAAAAGGAAGAGAATTATAAGGCAAATGTGGCAAAATGTTGAAAATAGGGAATGTAGGAAAGGTCATGTGATTTCTTTGTACTGTCCTTATAACATTACTGAAAGTTTAAAATTATTTCAAAATAAAAAAATTAATTTTTTTAAGATTAAATATTAAATGTGAAAATTTTCACGATAAAAATTTAGTTGAACCTGACAAAATGATTGGTACAAATGCTTTGAATAGTGACAAGAGGCTTGTAGCAGAAACTAGTTCAACACAGCTTTCTTCATCAAAAACGTCTTGCTATAAAAAATAACAGCTATCCTAAACTCTGCTTAGTGACATTTTGGCACAACCTAGTAACAGTTAATGAATGAGCACTATACATTGAGTAGCACTAGTCTAAATACCATCTATTTGTAATCAGTCAATCAATAACTACTTTAAGAATTATACATATATACATATCCATTTGGAATAGTATACACCAAGTTATAACCAGTTAATGCTGGATAACATAACTGATGGTAATTTTTATTTTAGCCTTGTATTTTCTTCTTCTTCTTCTTTTTTTTTTGACAGAGTCTTGCCCAGGCTGGAGTGTCATGGCTCAATCAGGGCCCACTGTAGCCTTGACCTCCTGGGCTCAAGTGATACACTTGCCTCAGCCTCCTGAGTACCTGGGACCACAGACATATGCCACTATGCCTAGCTAATGTTTTGCATTTTTAGTAGAGATGGGGTTTTACCATGTTGCCCAGGCTGGTCTCTAACTCCTGGGCTCAAGCAATCTGCCCAACTCAGCCTCCCCAGTGAGGGGATTACAGACGTAGACCACTGCTCCTGGCCTCTTCTTGTATTTTTCTGATGTTTCTGCAATGAACATGGATTACTTTTGTAATAACAAAAACAAAAGTAAACTTTCAAAAAAGCGTAGGTGAAAAGGAATTTAACAGGCAATCAGATTTCTTGGAATTTGCCTCCTCTATCAAAAGACGACGTTTTGCCTTAATGTTCACATACTACCAACATTTTTCTAAAAGGCTTTTACTTACAGCTGATCTTGAAGCTCCACAATTATATATTCTAATTGTTCCTTCTCCAGTTTATGAGCCAGATCAGAATCTTCAATCCTCTGAAGTAGTATTTTATTCTGGGAGACAGATTCAGATAGTTGGTTCTCTCGAAGTCGTAAGAGTTCTTCAAGGTAACCCTGGAAATACAGTATCATCAAGATATAGCAACTGCAAAATTCTAATACATATCCTGAAGATAAATGTTGAATATCTTAAATGCTATTTCTATTTCTATTGTAATGAAACAACTTCAAAATATTACTGATTAATTAGTAAAAAAATTGTTTTGGTTGAATATAAACATTTAACATATATTCTCCACTTTTTAAAGCTCTTCTCTAAAGTTTGAGAAACTGTAATTTGAGGCAAAACTTAGTTAAAACATTGTAATTTCTAAACTTCACAACAATTGCAGGCCTCCTAGCTTCAAAATAAGGACCTAATTACAGAATGACCAATTAGAAAGTTGCCTCTTTGTGATTATCTTTCAAAAACACATAGACATTAACATTTCAGTATCGATGTTACTGAGAGATAGTACACTTTGGTTAGGCCTCCTGGCCTAGTGTCATATTCTAGTTTTACTATGTCTCAGCTATGCGTCCTTGGGCAAGTTACTTAAGCTCTCTGTGCCACAGTTACACCATCTAAAAAAGTAGGACCTATCAGAGTACCCTAGTCAGGAGGGTTAAATGAATCAATATAGGTCAATTGCTTAGAACAGTGCCTGGTACACAGCATGCAATGTATAATTACTAGCTATTATTATTAGTAAACACGTATTAGATATAAGACTTCTTGGAATGATCTCTTAACCTTTTACTCTCCACTTTTTCTTTGTCCTTCTGCCCTGCTTTCTGGGAAATCTAATTGAATTTATCCTTGAACGCTTTATACAAATTTCTGAAATTAGGAAATCATACTTTGAATTTTCAAAAGCTCTTACCTCTTTTCTAATTGTTCTCATCCCCTGACATTCTATTCTTTTTAGTTGCAATGTACTTTCAAATTCCTCTGAGGATTATTAATTAGAATCTTTTTAAAGTACTCTTCTATTACATGTTACCCTATTCATGTATCATTAATAAACTTTTATCTATTTTAGATTTATGATATCGGCTAAGAGTAGCTAATACTATTCTTCAAGAGCTTATTTTTCATATTTTTCCTAATTCTCAAATGTTTGCTCTTCTATAATAAAATCTCAGACGCTAAAGTTAATTTTTACAGATATTTCATATATATGTAGCTTAATCTAAATATACATTAATAAACAATAATTAAAGAATACTCATATATCTACTACCTAGATTAATCAACAATACTTTAAAAGCCAATATAACGCCTTCCTTGATTGCCTTCTCTGCAAAGGTAACAATATCCTGAGATTTGTGTTTCTCATCTCTTTGCTTTTCTATCCAGTTTTACAACAAATATGTGTTATCTGAAACAATATGTTGTTTAGCTTTGTTTGGTTTGTCAATATTCTTTTGAAATTTTTGTCTATAATTGATGAGTCTAGCTATAGTTCATTTACTCTAAAAAATGTATAGTATTCCATTGTATGAATATTACAGTTTATTCACTCTTCTGTCACTCTTCTCTCAATGACCATTTGAATCACTTCAGGTTTTTCTTAATATAAACAATATTGCTGTGAACACACTCTTTTATGTCTCCTGGTATACACATCCAAGAGTTTCAAGGAGATATATCTAAGAGCAGAATTCTTAGGCTATAGGCCATGCATATCTTCACATTTACTAGAGACTGCTATTGATATTGCTGTTGTAGTAATTGTTCTTACTATTGGTTTTATACTAATCACATTCCCACTTGATATTATATTCACGTGATCTTATGTTAGTATAAATGTTATACTGGGTTCATTAAATTCATTAAAAATATTCCTTGTTTTTCTATTCTCAGGAACAGTCCATATAAAACAGGGATCACTCATATAGTTGTGTGTCACTTAACGATGGGGATATGTTCTGAGAATTATGTTGCTAGGCCATTTTTGCTTACACAAACCTAGATGGTACAGTCTACTACATGCTTAGGCTAGATCGTACAACCTATTATTCCTAGGCTACAAACCTGTAAGCATGTTACTGTACTGAGTACTGTAGGCAATTGTAACACAATAGCCAGTATTTATATATCTAAACATAGAAAAGGGACAGTAAAAAATATACTATAAAAGATTTTAAAAATAGGCACAACTATACAGGTCCTTACTGTAAATGGAACTTGCAGGACTGGAAATTGCTCAAACTGAGTCAGTGAGTGGGTGGTTAGTGAATGTAAAGGCCTAGAACATTACTGTATACTACTGTAGACTTTAAAAATACTGTACACCTAGGCTACACACTAAATTTATTTTTATATATTTTCTTTCTTCAGTAACAAAATTAAACTTAGCTTATTATAATATATTTACTTTACAAATGTTTTAAAACCTTTTTGACTCTTGTAATACAGTTTAAAACACACACTTCACAGCTATACAAAAATATTTTCTTTTTAACATCCTTATTCTATAAGCTTTTTTCTATTTAAAAATTTAAAATTTTTAACCTTTTTAAACTTTTTTTTGTTAAAAACTAAGACACAAACACATACATTATCCTAGGACTACACAGGGTCAGGATCATCAGTATCAGTTTTCCACCTCCACATCTTGTCCCACTGGAAGGATTTCAGGAGCATTAACACACAGAGCTGTCATCTCCCACTATAACAATGCTTACTGCTGGACTACCTCCTAAAAGACCTGCTTGAGGCTGTTTTACATTTAATTTTTTTGTTTTTTTAAGTAGAAAGAGTACACTCAAACATAATGATAAAACATATTGTATAATAAATACAGAAACCAGTAACATAGTATTTTATTATCATTATCAAGTATTATGTACTGTCCATAATTCTATATGCTATAGTTTTAAATGACTGTCAGGGCAATAGGTTTTTTTACACCAGTATCACCACAAACACATGAGTAATGCATTGTGTTACAATATCATCATGGCTACAACATCACTAAGTGAAAGGAATTTTTCATCTTCATTACAGTCTTACGGGACCTCATGTACTTGGCCTGTTGTTGGCCAAAACATTATTATGTGGCACATGACTGTATTTGGCAGAGTCACCAAAACAATACATGACAGTTTTTCTTTGGTGGGGGATTGGATAGATTTTAAACTACTTACTCAATTTCTTAAATGGCTATATATCAGTTTTGATAAGTAGTATTTATAAAAATTCTTTGTTTTGCAAGGTATTATTATAAAATTATTAAAATATTGCCTAATAATTATTGTGAGAGTTCCTCCACATTTATAGTGTGCTGTCTATTCTTCCATTCTTAAGATTATCTGTGCCTTAATTTTTAAAAAAATTTATTCCTGCTAGAATTTGTCTATTTCATTAATTTTTACAAATAATTATCTCTTCATTTTGTTAATTCTGTTTCTCTGCTTTTAACTTTATCAACATGTGTTATTTTATTACTTTCCTTCTTGTTGAACTAGTTTGGTTGTCCTTTGACTATTTCTTGGATACTTATCTCTTTAATTTTTATTGTTTATTTTCTAAGTGTTAAGTATTTCTATAAGTACTATAAAAGTTGTGTGGCAACTTACAACTGTTAGTATGCATTATTTTCATTCTCCTTTATTTCAAAGCACTCTGTTTCCTTAATTTTTTTGTTGTATAATTTAGAAAATTTTTCTTTAATTTCATGAATGGCATATGGGTGGTGGTAAACTTTTTGTATTGGTATCTATCTAACATTGCTGCAGTATTCACATGACCATATATTAGTATAATGGTTATACTAAAATGATACTACTGTATCATTTCTTTGGTATTTGTGGACATTTGTTTTGTGACCCAGTATGCTCCATAAAAAATTGGCCAGGTATGGTGGCTCACGCCTATAATCACTTTGGGAGGCCAAGATGGGCAGATCACTTGAGGTCAGGAGTTAAGAGATCAGCCTAGGCAATGTCATGAAATTCCATCTCTACTAAAAATACAAAAATTAGCCAGGCGTAGTGGCACATGTAGTTCCAGGTACTTGGGAGGCTGAGGAAGGAGAATCTCTTGAACTCAGGAGGTGGAGATTTAGTGAACCAAGATAGTGCCACTGCACTCCAGCATGGGTGACAAAGGGAGACTCCATCTCAAAAACAAAAAACAACACTATAGCTGTTTCATGTGTGCTTGAAAAGATTATATATTCTAATTGTTAACATTTAATATATTTTAGATCAAGTTTATTAATTGTGTTATTCAAGTTCACTAGATCTGCTCAATCTATAAATTGCTCTGAAAGACATTAAAATTTCTTATTATAATTATAGAATTACCAATTTATTCTGGATATTTAATTAATTTTTGCTTCATATTTTTCATGGATATATTGTTAAATGTATGTAAATTTAGCACTGATATATATTCTTGGTAAATGCATACTTTTAAAAAAAGGCAATGTCTTACTTTAGTCTTAATGCTTTCTGCCTTAATGTCTATGTTTAACGATATTGACATACATTTCTTTTAGTTAGTATCTCTAGTATATTTATCCCCCTATTTTCAACTTTCTTGTGTCATTTTATTTTATGTGTCTCTCTTATCAATAGCATACAGCTAAATTTTATAATCATTTTTCAATAAGTCTAAGAGTTTATCTTGACTGGTAAGTTTCTGCCATTTACTTTTACGGTGGTGTTGACTCTTCTGGTTATATGTAATTTGCATTTTGTGTTCTCTTTTCACTATCCTTATTTTCTCTAATGTGCTCCTTTTTAATATATTGATCAAGCTTTAATTATTCATTTTTTCCTCCCTCTACTAGTCTAAAAATTAAACATTCTACTTCAATTCTCTTAATTGCAATTTCTAAATGATAATTTGGGAAATAGACATGCACATTAAAGAGTCTCTAACCACCTTCACTGTATTACAAAGACCTCAAAACACTAGCTTCAATTATCCTCTCTCACGGTTTCTGATATTTTCAGTCAGTGCTATAATTCTGCTCTGCTTTCATACTCCCAGTGGTGGCCTGCAGCTGGCTAGCATAGGCTCTCGAGAACAGACTTAAATTTCAGAAATTTAAGCCCATTGTTAAACATTGGTGTTATTAAAAATTAAACTATATCAATTTATAACTATATCAAACACAAAGCTAATAACTACACAAAATTAGTACTTTCTAATTATTTCACCATATTTTAACTATTATCTATGTTCTTAGTCATTTACATTTACTTCATCTATCTTAGTAGAAATATTATGTAATGGTGTTCTACTGTACATCTCTTTCTAATTCTGCATTCAGTGATATCATATTGGTAGCTTTATTTTACATATATATATATATATATATTTATTGCACTTTAGGTTCCGGGGTACATCTGAAGAACATGCAGGATTGTTGCATAGGTACATACATGGCAATGTGGTTTGCTGCCTCCATCCCCATCACCTATATCTAGCATTTCTCCCCATGTTATCCCTCCCCAACCTCCCTACCCACTGCTGTCCCTCTACTATTCCACCAAATAGACCCCAGTGTGTGATGCTCCCCTCCCTGTGTTCATGTGTTCTCATTGTTCACCACCCACCTATGAGTGAGAGCATGTGGTATTTGATTTTCTGTTCTTGTGTCAGTTTGCTGAGAATGATGGTTTCCAGGTTCATCCATGTCCCTTCAAAGGACATGAACTCATTTTTTATGGATGCATAGTATTCTATGGTGTATATGTGCCACATTTTCCCTGTCCGGTCTATCATCGATGGGCATTTGGGTTGGTTCCAGGTCTTTGCTATTGTAAACAGTGCCACAATGAACATACGTGTGTATGTGTCTTTATAATAGAAAGATTTATAATCCTTTGGATATATACCCAGTAATGGGATTGCTGGCTCAAATGGTCCTTGAGGAATCGCCATACTATCTTCCACAATGGCTGAACTAATTTACACTCCTACCAACAGTGTAAAAGTGTTCCTGTTTCTCCACATCCTCTCCAACATCTGTTGTCTCTAGATTTTTTAATGAACACCATTCTAACTGGCATGAGATAGTATCTCAATGTTGGTAGCTTTAAATTGGCCATCATGGAAGTATTTATCAGAAAAATTGGCAAACACTACAAATGAGGGCTTCTGTTTCCACCTCCTCTAAAAGAGGCAGTTAAACTTGAGTATACCAGTGTCACCCCTATACTGGTCATTATTTTTGCTATTTCATGTAGTCAAGGTTTCCTTACAAGTTCATTTCTTTACTCTGACATTTTGCATCTCACTTCTGCATTCTAGGTTCAATTTCTACCTTGAATGACAGGGACATATACCTGCTATTTCCCTGTTGATGTTAAAACACAAGTTTCTAGATTAATTATGCCTTCACTACCATCCCTAGGCCCTGCAGTACTCTTAACATATGCACATATTCTTGTCTCAGGTCTATGTTTCTGATCCTTAGTGAATTCCTTTTCTTGAGAGAGTAGCTCTGAATTAATCTTTTAAACAATTGTATTCTACTCAGCATTTTTAGATTTTTGCAATGAAGATACTTTCAGATTATCTTAGTCTGCATTCTTGCTGGTACCACAAGTCTCACTTAATAGGGTGTGAAAAGTTTTCTTCATATGCATTATGCAAATATTTATAGCTAATATAATTGGGATTTAAAAATAGTTTCTAAGCAATAGCTATCTGTATAGATAAAATTACTTGTATATGTAAAATTATGTTATAACAATTTTCCCCACTGCATTTTTACTTTTTTGAATATTTCTATCGCTAATTCCATTGGGCTTTCCTTATATATATATCATCTTTGAATAACAATGTTAAAAGAAGAGGAAAAGGGAAAAATAGAAAATGCAGTAAAAAAAGTAAGAGTTATGAACTCCTTAAAATAATAGAGTTCGTTTGCTTTCTGTTTCTATGTACACTTTGCCTAGTACAGTGCTTAACACACAAGAGCTGCTAAAATATCTAATTTTTAAAAAACAGATATATGTGCTTAGGCAATCATTGCATTTTCACAAACTATTAATCTGTTATAAAATTTATCATAGAAACTAAAATCTCAGATACACAAATTAAACTGCTTATGGAAAAATAATGGCTTGTTTTTTATGTTAAAACATAAAATTGAAAAAACTAACAAATAAAAGCATCTCCTTCAACTGTCTGATTTTTCATTCAGATGAGGCCAATTCAAAAACAGAAGAGAGGCTGCAATGGATAAATAATTTTACTCAGTTAAAAATGTTTTGGCAGTGACAGTTCAAAGACAACAACTAGAATCAAATTAAATGTGTTTTGACAATTTTAAAATACCTTCTGTTCCAGGGTAAGCTGATACTTTTGCTTAACTCTTTTACACTTGTTGAACCAACTGTTCTCATCCATGAGGAAAGGAGGTCCGACATTCTCTGGAGTACTGCTTTCACTACCACTGCTTCCCAAAGTCCTTAGCTCCTCCTCATCACTGCTGATGCTATCAGAACTGGGAAGATCAAAATTTTAAGAAAATAAAGTTAAAAATATGGTTCAACTTGATTCTTAAACACTTTTATATTTGCAAGTTATGGTGAACACATTTGAAAATATTCAGCACTAAATACAAAATTATAATCGTATTATAAAGATTTTATATTCTTGAAAAAAAAAAAAACGGCAAGCTAGGCATGGGCTGCTGACTCCTTCTTAGAAACCAACCCTAGAGATACTACAGAAGCTCAAATGAGGTTTACAGATCCAAGGAATTAAGAGATAAACCAAGAATGCCCAAGGGAGAGAGAAAAGGTTCCCAGAGAAGAGAACCAGAAATTCTAGATGTGCTGAAAACAGCCTTCTATCTGGTGTTTTTCACTGCTGTAGGTGGATCACTGCCTGCCCAATCTTCAACAGAAGGCAGAAAACAGCAGTTCCAGCTAATAACACTGGGGTATAACACAGGGTAGTGTGTCAAGATCAGCTCAGCTTTAGCAAGGAGAAGATAACAGGTTCAGAAGATCCAGTCACTCCTAAGCATTTCCTACTGAGGGGAACAAGGGCAAGCACAGGTAGAGTAGAGAAAACATCCATTACAATCCATATAGAAAATTCCAGGACATGAGTAGGGCACAGGAGCAGAGCGTATGGTGAAAAAAAAATGGTAGAAGAAAAATTCAATGTAGATTAAAGTATGCTAAGATGACAGTCCAATTTACAAGAAAAATATTGGGGTTAATTCATGGATACAAGGAAGGGAACATCACATACCAGGCCCTGTTGTGGGATAGAGAGCAAGAGGAGGGAGAGCATTAGGACAAATACCTAATGTATGCAGGGCTTAAAACTTCAATGATGGGTTGATGGGTGCAGCAAACTACCATGGCACATATATAACTATGTAACAGACCTGCACATTCTGCACATGTATCTCAGAATTTAAAGTATAATTTTAAAAAAGAAGAAAAATACTGGTGTTAATATACTTAAAAAGAAACATGGAAAAATAAAATTTAAAATGTGAGCAATTAACGGGTAAGAAGTAGAAGCATAAGAACAGTCTGTATTACATTGAGAGTATTCAAAGAAACTATAATCTGTCAAATGAAAGGGCACACACACACAAAAAAACCAAATCCTGCCAAAGAAAATAAACCCTAGAACAGAAGTAATCACACAAAATTTAAATGAGTTAAACTTAATAACCAAAAGGCAGATGTTCAGAACCAGTTAAGATAAATAAGGGGCTGGGGACATTGGCTCATGCCTGTAATACCAGCACTTTGGGAGGCCAAGGTGGGTGGATCACTTGAGACCAGAAGTTCAAGATCAGCCTGGGCAACATGGTGAAAACCTGACACTACTAAAAATACAAGGGCTCATCTCCCACTCCCTACACAGAGTAGCAGCTTTCCTGAAATAGAGTGCAGATTGCCAGCAGTGCTGTTTGTTTCTTGCTGGGTGAAAAGGTTTTCTTTGGGGCCATTTTGTTGGTAGCAGACAGGCATTTTCTACAAACCTCAGTTGCATTGTGACCTAAAGATAATGTCTGTCTAAACTGAAGGTTTCAAGCCCTGTGACAGGGAAGCTGACCACATTCCCACCTGCCTAAGACAAGGAGTTGATGCAGTCCTCTCAACCCTCATCCCAAAGACCTCAGTGCCTCCTACCATGAACTACTCCTGCTACATGTTAGGGCTGGTGGTCCCACTTGTCATCAGCATACCCCAGGGAGAGCCAGCTCTTACCCTGAAGGGCAACTTACTGAACTGAAGATTGAACTGTATCACCAAAATTAGAAAAGCCAGGGGACAGAAGGGCATAATGCTAGGGTATGAGATAAGTGCCCTGAGATCTACATACTCTCAGCCCTGCAGAAGATAGTGAGTTGGATCACATGACCAATACACTGCTACAAAAATCAGCATTGGAGGAAGCCACTGCAAAAAAAAAGAAAAAAAAGCTATCTATAACCAAGGACTCATACAGAGCCTTGACCTCCTGAAAGCACCCAGAAATGCAGTTAGATGATCTTAGACAGTCACATCCTTAAGGGAGCTTCCTCAGATTAGAAGGAATTACTGTAAGAACTCTGGCAGCACAACATGATAGAATGTCTGGACATCTCCAAAGGATTACATTAGCTCTCCAGGAATAGATCCTAACCAAAATGAAAATTCTGATATGACAAAGAATTCAAAATATAGATTATAAAGAAGCTAAATGAGATCTTATGAGCCAGAAGAGATTGGGGATCTTTTTCCAGCCTTCTTAGAGAAAAAAAAAATTCAAGCCAAGGATTTTACATATTGCCAAACTAAGCTTCATCAATGAAGGGGAAATAGTCTTTCCCTGGAGAAGCAAGCATTAAGGCAATTCATAATAATTAGACAAGTCTTACAAGAAATGAACAAAGGAGCTCTAAACATAGAAATAAAAGGACAATAATCACCATCATAAATGCATACATACATACAAAGCTCAGAAAGCCTATAAAGCAATTACACAATTCAGATTACAAAGCAACTAGTTATCAACCCTATGGCAGGAACAGAATCTGACATAGCCTCACAAAGATATAGGCTGACAGTCTGATTGAAAACAAGACCCAACCATCTGCTGAGACCCACCTGGCAGGTAAATACACTTACAGGCTCAAAATGAAGGGTTTGAAAAAGATGTACCATGCAACAGGAAAATGAAAACAATCAGAATAGCTATTCTTCTATCATACAAAACAGACTTTAAATCAACAGTGAAAAGACAAGGTTATTATATAATGATAAAGGGTTTGATTCAACAGAAGATTTAACTGTTCTAAATACATGTATTTATATATAACTGTTATATATTACTGTTCTCATTATAATTATATAAAAATATATAATTATAAGGTATATAACAGGAATATAAAATATTATAACATAAATATAAGATATAACTGTTCTCATGATATAATTATATATATTATTACTGTTACATATATAACTGTTCTCATATCATTATTATGAGAACAGTCATATATATAACAGGTATTATATATAATTATATTTATAACTATATTCATTTATATTATATTATTTTATATATTTTATATTATATGTAATTATATAATTATAATTTATATATATATGATTATATAATTATATTATGAGAACAGTTATATCTTATAAGTTATACACATATATAACTGTTCTAAATACACACACACACACACACACACACACACACACACAAAACACTGGAGCACCCAGATTCATAAAACAAATACTACTAGACATAATAAATTATATAGGGCAATACAATAACAGTGGGGGGCTTCAACACCCTATTAACAGCATTAGACAGATCACTGAGGCAGAAATCAATAAAGATACTCTGGGATTGGACTCTAGACCAAATGGACCTAATAGATATTTACAGAACACGCTACCAAGTAACTGCAGAATATGTATTTTTCTCATCTGTGCAGAGAACATTCTCCAAAACTGACCATATAGTTGGCCATAAAGCAAGTCTCAATAAATTTTTAAAAATGGAAATCATATCAAAAATCTTCTCAGGCCACAGTGGAATAAAATTAGAAATCAATACCATGAGGAACCATCAGAACTACACAAGTAGATAGAAACTAAATAACTTGCTCCTGGAAGACATTGGGTAAACAAAATAAGGCAGAAATCCAAAATTCTTTTTGAAACACATTAAAAGAGACATAATATACCAAAACCTCTGGGATATGGCAAAAGCAGAGCTAAGAGGAAAGTTTATAGCACTAAATGCATATATCAAAAAGACAGAAAGATATCAAATGAGCAATCAAATGTTAAACCTCAAGGAACTGAAGACAAAAATAACAAACATCAGAGCAGAACAGAATGAAACTGAGCCAAAAAACCCCACAACAACCCAAAGGATCAACTAAATGAAAAGCTGATTTTCTGAAAGGTTAAAAAAATGAATAGACCACTAGCTAGATTAACCATGAGAGAAAATTCAAATAAGCACAATCAGAAATGATAAAGGTTATACTGCAGCTGATATGACAGAAATACAAAAGATTATCAGAGACTTTTATGAGTCGCTTCATGCACACAAACTAGAAAATCTAGAAAAATAAATAAATTTCTGAAACCTACAACTTCCCAAGATTGAACCAGGAAGAAACAGAAACCCTGAATAGACCAATAAAAAGTAATGGAAATGAATCAGTAATTATAATAATAAAAAAATCTCCCAAGAAAAAAAGAGCACAGGACCAGATAAATTGGGATTTCCTACCCAAAGAAAAATAAATCATTGTATCCAAAAGATACCCTTCCTTGTGTGTTTATCACAGCACTATTCACAATAGCAAATATGTGGAATCAGCCTAAGTATTTATCAGTAGAGGGCTGAACAAAGAAAATGTGGTGTGGGGAGGATCCAAGATGGCTGAAGAGGAACAGCTCTGGAGTGCAGTTCTCAGCAAGGACAACGCAGAGGGTGAGTGCCCACAGCATTTCCAAACAAATTTTCACTGCCCACAGACCAGGAGATTCCTGGGACAAAAAGCACGAGTCTTCAGCAAGGTGGTTTCAGTCGGTGTTAGGTTGGTGCACAGAAACTCACACAAATCTGGGTGGCCATTTCAACTGGCACTTGGAATGGCTGGGAGACAGAGCCGCCCATTCAACTGAAAGAGAGGAAGCAGAGACAGGGAGCCAGGCAATCTGGCTTGGCAGGTACCACCCCAATAACACAAGCAATCTGAAACACTCTAGATTGAGAGTTTTGCAGCAAATGCAGCTGGACCCAGGATGGTCCGGCTTAGTGGGGGAAAGGGCAAACACCACTATTGAGGCAGTCGGCCACTATCAAGGCAGTTCACACAGCAGCTGGGCAGTGCCTGTGGTAATGCAGCAATGCCTCTGCTGGCAGACTGTGACTAGACTACTCTGTGTGGGGCAGGGCATCTATGAAAAAAGGCAGCAGCATGATAGGAAGTTATAAATAAAGCCGACCTTCCTAAGA